TGTACACCCCCAAGAGATTCAGCATTCTACAGGAGGCACATAGCAACCTTAAGCAGTGGAAACGAACAGAAGTTCCCTGAACACAAGGGAACGAGAGATTATGTCACGTTCCTAAGCCGCTGAACGCTGTAATCAGCCACATCTGTGCTCGAAGAAGCATAAGTATACAAACTTCAAATCAAATGCAATTGCAGCCTTACTCAGAAGCGGATCATTGTCGTAGAGGAAGCGTATAGTCGCAAAACTTGGCCTATAGCAGGATCGCTAACAGCTTGATACGTCCCCAGATATATCATTTGTCGGCAGGCAAACCTGGCTTCGAATAAACCGGACAAAAGTTCAGTTACCTTCTCAGACCACTTACAATGCCTCAAGTGGCCAGGCGCATTTCATAGGTGAAGTTCACTATACTACTGTGCATGATATCTGAAGACGCACTGCGTCTGAAAGACGTACCACCTTTAGATCTTCTTGGTTTGGGCTACACAGAAAAAATGAGGTTACTTGACAAACCACTAAACCTTATCTGAGACCAGGCTGTGGTCATGAAGCAACTGAAGCCTGTCATGTCACCACCTATTTATCCGAATCTGAAAGATGCGCTGCGACTGAGACATAACATATTGTTTTCTTTTAGCCAATGGGAAAGTGCAAAATCCAAAGCCGTCCTCGTCCTCCTTCCCTACGTTAAGCCTGTGTCGCGGTCAAAAAGGCCGGTATCATATCCAAGCATGTCCATCGTGGGGCGAGAATTCCGACATCCTGTGTCGCTAAATAGGATTGATTCAGTGAATTTTTCGTGACACCAACTGCAATTGTTGTGGTGAAAAGATGGATGGCACCATACAACTGCATGCAGGCCACTCCACGGGACTGAATGCCGCGCAAATAAGTTTCTGGAAAGCTAGTCCACGCGGTTATAAGGAGGTAACAGTCGAGTGATAAAGAATGCTATAATTGAACACATTGTGAACAAGCCACCCTATCTCAAGAACCTCCATGATAAAAGTGAGCTATAAAAAAAAATCATCCGTAGGCTATGTCTCTGTATTCACGGCACTGCTGGAGCCCTTGCCATCCACGGGCAGAAACCTGAACCTCGTACGCAAAAGATGGTTCAACCTCTGCTTGTTTCGTGGCCCTAATCTCCAGCCCAATAAATCCCCTCTTTATTCCCTTTAGGACACTGCCCACTTCTAAGGTAATCTGTCGTTTTTTGTGGTTCCTATACTCTTTATGATCAGAATTCGGTCTCCAGTGGTTTCGTCGTATCACGAAGCTTCTTGTCCGAAATTATTATCCTCCACAAAATCCTAGTTATGTTTTGATTTGTATTCGTCATTAATCACGGTCTTATTCTGTTCTTTTTTCCTAATGACAGCCCAGATATCGACACTGTTCTTGTTGCCACGTTTGACAGGCCTCTTTCAAGTAATAAATCCTTGCAGAGGACAAATGTGTGAACTAGTTACTGTACGGCTTTGAGTTTGAAGTCGCCGAAGGGATACATGTCTCTCAAATACTTGCTCTTCTTTGATTTATTGCAAGATGGGACAAGTAAACGTGTGATCAGTTTGTTGGAGAAGTACCACGCAAAAGCCTCATATTGTTTAGACAAACTTCGGCTTCTGATTACACCATCTAGATTCTTAGAAGAGACCAATTGTTTCGGAAATGGGTACAGAGATCACCAGAAGGGATTAGTTTCAAAAGGACAAACACTGTATTCATAAACTGCCTTCGACGTTCTGCTTAACGTTTTTCATTTTGAAACTCAAGCTATATCACGTTTCACGGTAGATTTTGGTTTTGTTTTACACCTGAGAACATGAACTGGCCTGGGTATGCTGAGGATAGGCCAGAAAAAAGAAGAAAGCCTCTATGATTTCGCGCGAATGGAGACGTTATTCATTACAGGTACTTTTCCCCTGGTTGTAATTTCTAAGTTTCCGTCACATTTCCATAACAATAGGGAAATCGGCGATGCAATAAGATGACCAATGGTGCCGACAGAAGACACATATCAGCCTTTTCAATGGAGATGGATTCGGATTGAGGGGTCTGAGTATGGGTGGAAGTGAGCTCTAGTCAGTCCCATTCTATTAGATCCCTGCGTTGGCCTCGATCTCTCTTGAATGAGTTAGTTGATTATCTGGATTATCGACATTCTCTAAGCCAGTAGACAGCTATTTATTCAACGTGAAAACCATAGCCTCGCGGTAACCACGTTCGTTTTTATCTTTTGTACTCTCCTACTGTGTTCCAAGAGGTGGTCTGAAGCAGTGGGAGAGACTAGGGCCGACAAGTCGGTTTCATGGTCGTTTCCTCAAATTCCCTGCGGCATGGTCATGTTCTATCTTTTATCTGCAAAACTACTACCAGAAGAAGTTTGGCCCCCGGAGCAGGCAACATGCTAGCGGACATCCCAGAGCGCTTTCCAGATCCTTATCACCTTGCAGCTAAGGGCTTGCCATTTGTGCACTAGGTTCAAGAATCTTGTGGTGTGCTATGAAGTCCTAGCAATTTTGCGATTCACTTTTGCACCTCTGGGAGTGAACCAGTTACCTGTCGTCTGTCTTCGAAGCGTCAAACTAAAAAAGATTCACATAACTGTTGACCAGTGATGTTGCCTTCAGACTGCTGGAAAGTGTAATCAAAGTACTATGCGGGACGTTTTCCATGCAAATGGCCTCGTTCATTCCACCAAGCACGGTTTACGAGTTAGGCAGATATGTACTCCTGAGCTGATGACCACTTGGGATTTTCTTGTTGACAGATGAATTCCTTTGGATCTATACCACTTGCCCGAACCGATAACTGGGAAATAAGTGGCCTTGGTTGTATTATGTGATTCTGACTTTCTGCCTCATTATCTAAATAACACTACTATTATTGCAGCTTACCTGTGCCTATGACTTAACGACTGAAATGAAGGTGGAACGAGATATTCGTCGCCCCTTAAACGTCATCCCTTCTGCCTCACTTCTTCGCAAAGAAAGCAAGGTTCCATGACTCATTGTTTCACAGTCTGATTCATCTGCACACAGGACAAAGTTTCACGTCAATTAAGATTCTTGATCCACAGAAATGAAGCGACTGATTTCATACACAGAAAATAGAATGGATCGTTTTACCAGTTTGTGTATAGATTGCAGCTGTTTCGCAACTGTGAATTTCACTGTAAATAAGATTATCGATCAAAACAGTCATTTGAATGACTGAATATTGTCGTTTCAAAATTAATGGTCGCTTTTGAGCCCAATATGAACATCTAAAAAGAGGGTTGACACAAAGCCTGGGTCATATTTGTTTGCTTTAAGCTCTTGTACCATGGAACTCCCGTTTCTGGAATCAGTAACAGCCCGGTCTGTTGAATCCTATAAAAGAATACTGGATAGACATTCATTCATGCTTTACCACGAAAACAGCAAATCCTTGACCATCATTCTGTCGTATGATTCCCGTTATAATTATTATTTTAATGGTCTTTCAGCTTTCGGCTTTCGAAGTATACACAACCGGCCAGCTTTCTTTCATCTCCATAAATTTTTCGAATATCTGTTGTTGGAACCGGCCTCACATATTCTTAGCCTCACGCAGCCTAACGCTTTCAGTGTGCAGAACCGGGTCTTTAGAGACCCTTCGATCTTAGTTGTATCTCTGTCACCTCTTGATGAACCCAGTCTGGAAATAGCAAATTGATACATATTTCACAAAGGCTGGTGAGCCATTAGCTCCAAGCAGTTACGCGGACAAGCGGAACAGGGCTCCGTGTGCATTTGAAAAGCACAGATGAGAAAACGAGGCTAGATTGCAAGAAGCGCATGCGACGTTTCAAAGACCCACAGTTTCGTAGATGCTTGTGGGAACCCCGGTCACGTGCCACGCTACGGGGCAAAGATAAGTTTGGGATCTAACTCCCTCTCTCACTGAGTGTTTGCCTAGTACGGAACTTTACCGAAAGAAGTTGCCGCGGCTGCATCAGTTAACTCCTTTAAACGACTGCTAAGTAAGCACATGTGAGCAAACGGCTTACATGGAACATTCGTCATTAGCAACTGAAGGTATGCTTATCCACCCCTGTATTCCTCACCCCGAAGTCTGCAATAGGACCTATCATTTCTCCGTGTTACCGTATCGCCACACACTTCTCCAGAGTCTGTAGTCTAGGGTTCGACGAGATTCAACATTGGTGCTGACCTTGATAGCTTTACCGGACTCATTTAGCCGAAGGCACTCGGTCAGGCATCCAGGACATTTGGCACGCTGTCGTGTTACGTTGCACTGCTCGTAATCGACCCTCTAGCCAGTTATTTGGGACGTATCGGTATCTAGGCCCGACCTCGCAAATATACTATTCCATCCGACTACGCTATTGTGTTCTTCCTTGCTTTAGTATATAACAAGCCCGGATAATTAGTGATTGGCATCTACGTCTGTCTAGTCCGCACCGGGACAATACTTAAGTTACTGCCAGTAACATTTATTTTTCCATGAGTAATTTTCACTCCTCTTCTCCTCATTCCCTACTCGCCATATTTCTGGCACTAACTTTTAAATAACGCTTCACATTGGCTCGGGGATCCTCCTTAAAGTAGAACTCGCTGAAGGTTTATTGATGTTATTAGCGGCCTTGTTGCTCTCTTTAACAAACCAAGCAATGATATGAACCAGCAATACATTCAAACTGAGAATCACTATCTCCAAAGCTGTAAGGAGGAAAAACATAAAGACTTTTGCCACCACCGAGGGATTCCAACCAGAGCTTAAAAACTATGCTTTTCCTCTAATTGCACTACTGATGTTGGATGTTGGAGGTTAATACTAAATATGCGCTTATTTTCAAAGAGTTTACAGTTGTTCCCTTTTCCTGTGCATAACTGAATCGAAAATGATTCCAAATTCACAAGTTAAATTATATTTTTAAATGTCGATAACCTAACGTATGCAAGTAACCTTTGAACTCACTTCCCACTTTAAATTGATAATTGAAATTGTTATTTCCTGCTACGGATACAATCTTCGTCACCGGTCTCAAGGTCCTCATTTCAAAATGTTCCTACTGGCTGCATTTTTTATTTCATCAGTCACTTGTTGCTACGGTTACTATACTGTAGTAGACGCTAATTCAGAAGATTGCTTCTTTGACCGTGTTGCTAGTGGTAGCAAGCTTGCACTACACTATGAGGTTGCTGAAGGTGGTTTTCTTGATATAGATGTTGTTGTAAGTTTGACATATCAATGGCTTTACGGTTAGGTTTATAATCCAAGTGGTGCCAAAGTATTTGAATCACTCAGAAAGTCTAATGGGAGACCAGAATTTCTTGCAAATGAACCTGGGGATTACAAGTACTGTTTTGGAAATCGGATGAGTTCTATGACACCGAAGGTGATATTATTTGAAATGGCTATAGAGGAAGACCACTTAAAAGCTAACGAAAGTGATGATGGTAAGTTCATGATTTTAATTTTATACCTATGTAGAGGCACATAAAAAATTGGTGTCTATGGTAAACGAGTTGTCACATTCTATCTCTTCCGTCAAATTAGAAATGGAATATGTATCTCTGAGGACTCAAGTACATTGGGAAAGTAGGTTTCTGGAATTCATTCAAAAATTTATTTTAGTAAACAAAAACACCAACTTCCGTGTGGTTGTTTGGGCTGCATTTGAAGCATTCCTAATAATAGCAATGAGCATTGGTCAAGTTTTCTATCTCAAGCGCTTCTTCGAAGTGAGGAGATTGGTCTAATTGGCTGCAAGTTTTTATACGACTAATCAATAGTGTCTCGAGTATTTTTATGTTTTGTCCCAGACGATTGTACAGAATACCCATTTTCGTAACTTGGTTAATGTTCTTCCATGTTTGGATCTCTGTATGTATCTGTCGTATTGCCAATATTGATCAGTTCTATTATATTTGATGGTTATCAGATGGTTCTGCTGACTTTGGCTATGATTTCCTCACAATTTTCTCTGTACTATTTCTCACATAAAACCCTGGTTTTCTTTGGGGTTTTGTTCTGAGTATCTGCCAACAAGGGTTCAAACGGTATAGAGTTTGACTTATAAATTCCTCAAGGTATGGGGACCAATGTCATTTGCGGTGTTGGTAGGATACTCATATCCATCAGGAAGTGGTGAGTATACTTCCTATCAGCGTATCACATTCCCCTTTATTCTTATGAAAGACTGTAAAGAACATGAACAATCGTCTCATCATTAAGGTAGTCGAAAGATGCGGTTAGTCTCAGTCTTGAATAGTGGTGATGATTTATTTGAAATCATTGCTCTGTAACACTAAAGAAGACAGATTCGTTTTACCCATGCTTTGGTAGCATCCCAAAATTCAAGGGCAACTCTAAATTCCCGGGAGATTCACGTTTAGGCCTTGAGATACGTGTTGTTGTTTGAGCTTTTATGACACTACTTGAATGCTTAAATCTTGGCAAGTGTAGCGGGTTTTATGCACTAGCTTATTATTATTATATCATTTGTCCTTTGGGTTCCTAGTGAAACATGGGGCTTCACCAGCATGTCTCCATTACACTCTCTTCTCTGCAATCTTTTGAACCTGGCTCCAACACTGCCCACAAGCTCGCATTTCCTCACACCATCTCCTCCATGTCACCCTCACCTCGGACGCCCAACTCGTCGTTACCCATTTGGGTTCCACTTGAGTGCCTGACCTGGCGCGTGACGTCCCCGAATGGTCTACTCTATGCATGCCCAATCCATCTCCACTTCCTTCCTCAGCATATTTGTTGAGTGATAGGTTGTCGGTTGGTTCGTTGACAGCTGCAGTGAGTTCCTTATTGCTTATTTCTATTATTCTGGCCATCTGAGCTTCAGTAACGAGCCAGGGTAGGTAGTTGTTGATGAATGTCTGTAATTTGTTGTGAATGCCTTTCGTAATGTGCCAAGTCTGTGAACCATGTGAAAGCACTGACTTGACTGAGGTTGGTGTTGAAAATCGGGATTTTGTTCACGCTTTATGCTGAGTGGAGATCTCCACACTGGTTTCAGGTTGATGAACGCCTGTCTTGTTGTTTTTCCGATCCTGGCTACTTTGACGTCTTCGTCTTTGCCGCTGTAGTTGAAACAATGGTGCCTAGCTAGGTGAAAGAGACAACTTCCTTCAGGTTTCTGCCGTTCATGGTGATTGGAGCTTGTTGTTGTTGTTGTTGTTGTTGCTGCTGCTGGTTGGGTATCTTCATCACCACCGTCTTCTCTACGTTCACTTGAAGTCCTGTCTTTGCTGCCCTGTTTCTTCTATCAACTTGATAGTTTTCGCGTGTAGATTTTCAAGTGTGTGTGACGGTAGACACAAGTCATCGGGGAAACCGAAATCTTCTAGGTTTTTTCCGACGGTCCAGCGTATGCGCCTCTCTTCTCTCCTCACAGTTTGTTGCATGATCCAGTTCACTACAATCAGGAATATCATGGATGATAGTAGGTGGCAGCCTTGTCTTACCCCTGTCTTCACTCCAAACGCATCACTGGGCTTCCCACTCTTAGTCACTTGGCATGTGGCATCGTCATATAGCTGGTGTTGAATGAGGTTGATGAAGGTGTGTAGCACACCATAGTGTTGAAGCAGTTGACTAGCAAATTACTTGTCGGTCGACGCTGTCGAAGGCCGGCCTTTTCAGAGTCGATGAAGTTGAGTTGAGGTAGAGAGTTGACTGCCGTTCTATACTCTGTTCTATGATGATGTGTAGTGTAGCGTGGCAATTTGATCCGCACATGATTTGTACTTCCTGAAGCCAGCCAGCCAGTCTGTTCTGGTCGTAATTTTGAATCCAGAGCACCTTTGAATGTCATCAGGATGATTCGGCATAACATTTTACTTGGGGTGGACAGGAGTATGATTCCTCACCAGTTATTGCAAATACTTAGGTCGTTCTTCTTTGGGAGTTTTACAAGGTAGCCGTTCTTCCAATCGCCAGGTACCTTCCCTTTCTTCCAAACCTTTTGCAATATTGGTGTGAGCATGTCAGCTGTTGTCCGTGAATCTGTTCCCAGTGCTTCTGGCAGGATTCCATCTGATCCTGCTGCTTTCCCGCATTTCAGCAGTTTTATGGTATTTAGTACTTCTGCTTTTGTCGGAGGGCTTGTGTTCACTTTAAGTTCAGTGGCTGCAGTTGGTGGTCGATTCACGAGTTTTCTGAAGTGGTCAGCCCATCATTCCCTTTGTTTCTCTTGTTTGCTAATTATATTTCCTTCATCATCTTTTATTGGTTTCATCTGCGTTGATATCTTCCCAGATAGTATCCTGGTTATTTGATGCAGTGTTGTCAGATCTCTCCTACTTGCAACAGCCTGTTCTGCTTCAGTTGCCAGTGTTTCGTAGAAGTGTGTTTTGTCTTTCCGGACACTCTTCTTCACTTCTTTGTCCAGTGTAGTGTTTTATACATTGTGTTCAGTTCCTCTTGTCGTTGTGCATCCTTGCACTGCACTGGTTTATCTTCTGCTTCACCATCCTCCTCTCCCTGCTCCATCAGCTTCCATGTGTCCATCGAGATCCATTCCTTATCTTCTTTCTTCGTAATACGGTTGTGCAGGTTTCTTTCCACATCTCTTTCAAAGAGTTCCAGGTTTCGTCAGAGATGTTACATTAGCTAATTAGCAGGTGCTGAAGGTATTAATTCAAAGCCTCTAGTTATTACCGTTTCTGCTTTATATTACCGTGAGTGGAAAAATCCGAGCAATACACATTTTTTTGAAGTTGGCATTAACTGTTTGCCATAACCGAAAGAGACAGTCTGGAATATATATATATATATATATATATATATATATATATATATATATATATATATATATATATATATATATATGTATATATATAAAGTTATTTTCTACAGTTCGCATCAACACATCGAGAGAAATAGAGAAGGGAAAGCAATTAAGTTGAACATTAAATCAGATATATGTGCGAAATTCTACTAGCCACATGATAAAGTAGTAAAGAGAACTGAAACTACATAAGTCGCTTATCATAGCTGTGAATTTATCCGATGTGTATATGGACGACAAATAGTGTCTGAAATACCACTCAGTAAGTAATACTATTACATACATCCAGAGCATAGGTTGTTACGAATATCCTAGAAGAAGTTGAGATTATCAAAATATGTAGTTTCATTGTAATTTCAACATACTTTTATTTATTGAAAGAAAACAGGATATCGGTTAGTTGTTAAGACGAGTAAAGGTAATCGTGGCGTATTGGTACATGGTAACGGCAAATCCAAGCAATGTAGCAACTTGCGCAATTAGAGTTTCTTGTAGAGAAACGACATGGATAGGAAACAAATATCGAAGGGATTAAAATATCAAATCACGAGTCACTAAATAAATAGGTTGTGAAGTAAAGCGTGGTAACTGAAGCTGAACTAGTTTGAGCCAATCTATATAGGTACTTTTGGGTCCAGTAAGTAAATGATGCGATTGAATAAAATTGAGTGAATAAATATTTAGGTTCAGCAAACAACGGATTACCTAATTAGGAGAAGGTTGGATACGGTTTCTTTGTAGACCACTTCAGGTGTTCGATGATGATATGCCCAGAGGGACATTTTGCGTACTTGCTTACTTATTACCTAAACTTTTGCTTGATTTCCTGTACCATTCAGACGTTGAACTAATCTGTTCAAAGTGGTGATTCCACTTAGTGTCTCGAGAAAATAAAGGGTAGGCCCTGTTTTTGCCTTTCTATAGGGTCTGATTTGGCAGTTACACGTGAACTGACAACCACAGTTGGAGGTAAAGTAAGAAGGGTGACTCTTGACAGGAGTGCTGAACACACTGTTTGGTAGACATGAATTAACCTGGCTGGAGAGAAAGTACTAGTCAATGCTGTTTTCAATCATGTGTCAACATTTCTTGCAGTGCCATCATCTATCAAATTGCGACGATTGTATTCAGTCTTTTTGCTGACTTTTTTCTTTAGCTTTTTGCATTTTGTTCTTATTTAGCTGTTGATAGATGTTTAAACATCCGTTGTATCACAGACATCTATCACTTATTCGGCACTCTTCCCCCAATTCATCACTAGAACATTACGTCTTCACTCTGTGAAGTAATTTCCTAACTAACCAGTTTGTAGTTACTCGAACAAGAGCTATTAAGATTCATGCAGTTACCATCGCAACTTCGACGAGTAAACCTCTGGAGCACATCATCTGTCCCACGGTATAAAGCGATATCCAGAAAATCGGACACCTTAAGTGTCGGTTTGGGCTGCATTTCTCGCCACTGAAATGCAAGTTGTTGCTCGTGGACCGATCTTCAACTATCCCCCGGGTAACAGTAGGAAGTGAGTTGGTTGAGTGTGTTTACCACTTCACTTACCTGGAAAGTCGGATCAGCGTTGGTGAGCTCGTGACCGAGGAAACCTATACACAGATACTAAAGGTTTGACTTGCTTTTGCTAAGTTACATCTACGAAATCTGATTATCTATTAAAGACTGAGTGTACTGTATTGCAGTTCGCTCTGTTCTACTGTATGGCTGAGAAAAGTGGATTTTGAAGGCAGAGAAAACCAGAAGGCTTCAGGTGTTTGCCTTCGTAGCATGGGCTGTGTCGTGGTGTCACCACGCGAGTTACACAGGAGTCAGGTGTAGAGTCTTGGGGAAGAGAGGAAGGTCAGTTGGTGAGGTTGTGAACCGTAATCAACTGAGGTGGCTGGGACATGTGCTGTGCACTATCTGCCTCTTCGCGCAACGTTAGCCAAAGTAGGCTTAGGCTGCGAAAAGGCTCGGCGGGGTCAGACTAAAACATGGCATCAGTGCATTGGACATTCAGTCACTCATCCCATGGTGAATTCAATGTTGTTATGAACGTTGTAAGAGTGTGCTAACAAATGTGATGCATGGAATTGAACAATGTACTTGATAAAGGTGTCGTTAGCAAAGAAGAGAAAGAAGGGGAACGATGGGCTTACCACTTCAGAAAACTCTTGAATCGACCACCACCTATAACTCGTCCGGAAATACCACCAGCAACCGCAGAACTAAAAGTGAACACAAGCCCTCCGACAAAAGCAGAAG